CCAGAGAGAGAGGGAGACACAGGATCTGAAGCAAGTTCCAGGCTCTGGGCTGTCAGCACAGAGCCCGATGCGGGGCTCGAATTCATGGACTGTGAGATCATGACCTGAGCTGAAGCCGGATGTGCAACCGACTGAGCCACCCAGGCGCCGCAACATTTTAAAAAAACAAAATGGAGGGACGCCTGGGTGGCTCAGTCGGTTAAGCACTGACTTCAGCTCAGGTCATAATGTCACGGTTCGTGAGTTCAAGCCTCGAGTCAGGCTCCGTGCGGACAGGTCAGAGCCTGGAGCCTGCATCGGATCCTGTGTCTCCCTCTCTCTCTGCCCCTCCTCTGCTTGCTGTCTCTGTCTCTGTCTCTCTCTCTCAAAAATAAAATACACATTAAAAAAATTTTGTATAAAAATAAAATGGAACATGTTGATTATATAGTCCCGCATATATATTTTTGGCATTCCTTATTTTCAACAAGTAGGTTTTTTTTTACATTTCAAGATTAAAATGGATTTCTCTTGCAATTTTAAACAATTTTAGAAAAAAATCCCAAGGGCAGACTAGTATGCAAATTGGAAGCAAATATGGCCATAACTCATAATCCTAAATATTGGATAAGATGCAGTTCTATTTGCTGAGAACTTTTTGGTTCTGAACTTCATAAATTTGGATGGATTTCTGAATGGTAGGAGCCTCAGACTCTGACAGCATGAGGTATGAAGGTCTGGGATAGCTTTTGCTTCTAAGAATATACATTTAAGAATTTCATCGAAGTAAACTTGAAGCAGCAACTTGATTTGCTCTGCTGTTCCCTGGGGGTAAAGGAGCTTATGCGGGAGAGTTAGAGCACTCACTTCCTCCGCTGGGAGCTGTTAGTAATGGGTAGTTATCACAGGGATGGGTATCCTCCGGGAGCAGGGGTGGTGTGCAAATCTTTTCCATTTTCCAGTAACCTATGGTAGTGCAAGATGAGGTTAAGACATGGCTACAGGTTGGTGTTAATACAAGCTTATGAGACTATACATCAGTAAACAATAAAACATTCTCATTTTGAACTAAGAAGCTGACCAGTTAGCCTTTTTGTAGACAGATTAAACATGATAGTGGCATGAGAGCTAAAATTGATAAGTACGGCATAATTAAAACTATCTGTGACCGTTAATGTTACTTAATGAAACAGAACTGAGATTATTACGGAAATCAAGAAGTTAGTTTTAATTTAGGCTTCAGCATGTCTCTTCTGGACTTTTCTCCCTGCAGACGGTCGTCTTACCTTTTCTTTTCAGGTATTCCGCAGTGAGGGCAGCTATATGGATGTAACACATCGCGGCCTGTAAGAAAAAAGAACGGTTTTAGAGGAAGGCACAGCACAGAGCTGACTAATCAGGACTAACTTCCTAGGTGAGTCAGTATCCCATGTAAGAATACATGGAGGAATCCTTTTAATGACGGAGTTAAAAACAAGAATCAAGCTGATTTCCAAAGCGTTCACCATCAAGAATAAAATGCCTATTCAGGAAGTTTTGTGTGTGTGCTTATCTGGGTGTTATCTTCAAGTGGGTGAATGAACTGACCTCAAGAATTTTCTGTAGAATTACCTTCCTTCCTGTTTAAGCCTAATGTAGATATTTTATTTTATTATTACTTTTTTCAATAAATTAATTTGAGAGAGACAGAGACAGTATGAACGGGGGAGGGGCAGAGAGAGAGGGAGAGAGAGAATCCCAAGCCGACTCCGTGTTGTCAGCACAGAGCCCAACTCGGGGCTTGAACTCAGGAAACCGTGAGATCATGACCTGAGCCTAAACCAAGAGTTGAATGCTTAGCCGACTGAGCCCTCCAGGCGCCCCTGATGTATATATTTTAAAATCCAATTCTCTTTTCTTGTTAAAACTATACACTACAGTATCGGGATCTAAATTGAAAATAAAATAAAGCTATCTTCTTACCTTTTCTGTTTCCAATAATGGCCCCCTTGGAATTTCTACTGCCTTTAAGATGGTCACCTCACAAGGTGGGACTTGATTAAATAGCGTGGCCTAACGTAATGTGTGCTCCCGCCAACCAGAATACATGGTGACATCTTAACGTTCTCTAGTATCTCCCGAAAAGCCTTGAGCATTGCTGAACAGGTACTAGAACTTGACCTGTTGACGGTCCAAATGACTTCAGCTTTTCCCTTGAAGTTTTATGGAGGGATTTCCCCATTTTCTGGGCAATCCAAGGAACTGGAGTTTCTCATTCTTGTCCCATCAAACTGCCTCCAACCGCAGCCTCTGATTGGCTCTCTTTCTATCCCAGGATCCTTCACACGCGTTTAGAAGAACGTCAGGTTTAACTTCAGGTTTTAAGACCATCCCGGACATTTTAATCTCTTCCCCAAAGGGGCGTATTTCTGAGAATAAGGCAAAACTTTTCCATATGGTGTCTAGAAACCACTTGGGTGCTGTGAACTGCTACATAAAAAGCCACCCAGTGTTTAAACGGACATTGAAACGTTAGCTATTGATTTATAATCTTCACACAGTGCATTCTCCTCACAGGGCTCGTGAGAGTGTTAATATTTCCATCACCAGTTCAGACCAGCTGCAAATGAGGACAGATTACCCCAGCCTGAGATTACTCACTATGAAGGCAAGCTTCCCCATCCGAGTCCGATCACAGGGAAGAAGTTTTAAAACACAGAAGATCAACTTACATAACTCAATTTCTCAATTTCCAGACACCGTTCCAACCATCCTCCCTAGTCTTAGGCTTTTAACGTTTAGTTCTGCATTGCATATCCTACAATTGCAGCTGATACCAACAACTGTGGCTTTTACTTGGTATCATTTACATGGAGTCAGGAATTCTTGAATCCTATGTGCAAATTTAATGCACATAATATATAATCGGGTCATACCTAGATGAGCGGGAAAATATGGTAACCTACTGTAAATGCAAATCCAATCGCCCCGATAAAGGAGACAATGCCAATGGAGAAGGACTGAGCCTTTGCTAATCACCTCGGATAAGTCGCCGTTTCTCGCGTGAATCTTGGCCATGCTTTCCAGCCAGGTCCTGCGCAGCTCAGGGGTGCTTGCATAGGAGTTTGCCAGGCTGTACTGGAGATCCACCAGCATCTCGGGGTCCTTCTCATGCTCTTTCATCTGAGCTGTGGCCATCAAAACAGTCCTTATACGTTTTGTCAGATCTTTCACCTCTGCTGGGAAGTTGCTGTTCTTTGGAAAAGAGAGAGGCTGGGTCATTATCGGTTTCAAATTCCTAGATAAGTTACTTCAAGTTATGCTATTATTTATGGCATCGTCTCACAGTTTGATGTGTTCTCTATCTTGTTCATAAGCATGTACTTTCTTTGTACGCGCATCTTATGTATTGTGGTTGTGTATACATTTGAACATTAGAACTGTAGTAGACTCCGTCTTATCTGCTCACCTAGCTTCTTCTAGTAATAGCATCCTGATTGTTCTTTGAGACGCTCTCCTCTCTGGCTCTGGGTCATGTGATTTGAAAGGTCTACTTCCTTCGCAGGCACCAGGGTGTGGCCCACGTTCCTGACCCGGCCAATCATATTCTTTGATCCCTCAAGCCAGTGATTGGTTTAGGGATGGGCATATGATAACAAGGTTCAGTTTGGGGGCTTTAACTGACACAATTGAATGAAATGCTTCTTTCACTTACAGGATACTTCGATATCCTCAGAATTTCTGAGAAAGTACGCTCATGGGGAGATCCTGCTTGTAAATGAAGTAAACAAAGAGGAAAATTGAACTAAGAGACAGAGAGAGGTAAAAATAGAGGCAGTAGGGAAGGGGATCTGAAAACATTATTTTTTAATTTTTAAAGGTTTTTTTATTCAAATCATTTTTTCCAGTTTTGTTCAGAAGTAACTGTCATACATCACTATATAAATGTAAGGCATACAGCATAGCAGTTTAATTGATATATATTGTGAAAGGAGTAGCACAATAGGTTCAGCTAACAGCCATCTTCTCCTATAGATGCAGTATAGAGACAAGAAAGAAAAAAGAAAAAAGGAAAACAAAATTCCCCTTACGATGACAGCTCATAGGATTTTCTCTCCTAACTACCTCTTCTTTTTTTTTTTTCTTTTATGTTTATATATTTTTGAGAGAGAGACAGAGTGTGAGCAGGGGAGGGGCAGAGAGTAGAGGGGCACACAGAATCCGAAGCAGGCTCCAGGCGCTGAGCTGTCAGCACAGAGCCTGACGCGGGGCTCGAACCCACAAACCGTGAGATCGTGACCGGAGCCGAAGTCAGACGCTTAACCGACTGAGCCACCCAGGCGCCCCTCTGAACTACCTCTTCTATATAACATAGAGCGATGTTAGCTATAGTCCTCATGTTGTACCTGACATCCCCAGTACTTATCTCTTACAATTAGAAGTTTGTACCTTTTCACCACCCTCCTCCAATTTCCTCACCCCCACCCTGCCTCTGATAACCATGAGTCTGATTTCTTTCTTCATGATTTTCAGGGTTTTTTTTTTAAAGATTATACATATAAGTGAGATCATACAGTACTTGTTTATCTTTGACCTATTTCACCTAGTGTAATGCCTTCAGTGTCCATCCATGTTGTTACAAATGGCAGGACTGCCTCAGATTTTGTGGCTGACTGCTATTCCATTGACTATATACACCACAACCGCTTTATCCATTCGTTCACTGGTGGACACGTAGCTTGTTTCCATGCCTTGGCTATTGTAAATAATGCTGTTATGAACATGGGGTGCACATATCTTTTTGAATTAATGTGAAAACATTTTAATTTCTGGGTTCAGCCATGCCCAATGCCAGGCCCTTATCCCTGGACTTTTCAGTACTGTGATTAAAGGAGAAGTCTTCAGAAATTTCTAAAAGAAAGATTAAATACATTTGACCTACAATAGGATTATGAGAGAATCACTGTATTTCTGGATATTTGTGGTTAGTATTCTTTTTTTATTTTTGGTAAAATTTTTTAATGTTTATTTTTGAGAGAGAGGGAGGCAGAGCATCAGTGGGGGAGGGGCAGAGAGGGGGGGCACACAGAATCTGACGCAGGCTCCAGGCTCTGAGCTGCCAGCACAGAGCCCGATGTGGGACGTGGGGCTTGAACTCACAAACAGTGAGATCACGGCCTGAGCCAAAGTGGGACGCTTAACCTTCACAATGAGCCTCCCAGGCGCCCCTTGTGGTTAGTATTCTTGTTATATCTCATTCAACCACCCATCTTGGAAATTCCAAGCAACAGATGATAGACTGACAGTGTTAGAGCTGATCGACAATTCAGCAAGCAAACTCAACGTAAGCACTCAGTTTAAGTCACAATACACAAAACACAGAATTTGGATATATATATATTTTTGATTTGGATATTTCACAAAAGAATCCAGTTTAGTTTATTCCCAAGTCTTTGAAAATGTCCATAAAGCATTTCTTACTTTCATCTGCTTGTCTCCATTAGCAAAATTGTTGGTAATTGCAAGGGAATGCTGAAACCGAGAGCCTCCAATCCCAGCATCGGCGATTAACTGGCTTACAGCCTTGATAAGCTAGAAGAGAAGAGAAAAAGAAAACTCCAAAGGTACTAACTCAGAAATAGTAATATTAAAGAAACCCACTGGATTGGATGAAGGTACCATTGATTTCTCCCTGTGGGTCCAAAGAATAGCATCTTTATGCCTTAAAATTTTCAGAAGGCCACGTAATCTAGGGTGTTTCCTATAATTTAAAATATTTAAAGAAGGTTGCAGGAATCTTGGGATGCCTTAAAGGAAGACATTTCTGGATTTGGAATCTGGTGGGGTTTGGCATCCTAGAGATAGTCACGGTTTCCTGAGTTGTGTATTCTATTCGATTCTGTTCCTTGGCAGAAGAAAAGTAAAAGTGGAATTATGGGCTGTGTTGATTTCTGCCCAGTTGCCCTCTTCCTCTGAACCAGAGCGGAGTGTGTTGAGTCTCTTTAAGGAGGAATCTAGTAGAAGACTTGGTAGGTCTTGCCCAGGGGCCTAAAGGCTTTTATCAATGCTGAAACAGAAGAGTGGCTTTAACAACAGCATTAATGGAAACTGGAAGCACTTACTTGTAAGTGGGACCGGACAATTGACTTCTGCTTGCTAAATTCAAAATTCTTCCTCATGAAAAAGTATAGAAGGGCTGATGCTTCTGTCTGAGTTGACCGTGACCTGTGGTTACAGCATTTTAGGACTTCATAGCAGAAGGATCCACACAGGTCGGCAGGCCCTTGAAAGAACGCTGAAGGAAACTATGGAGGTAGAACGGTTGGTTAAGTACGGGGGGGGGGGGGGAGGGGGGGGAACCATGCCTTCATTTTGCTGTGTTTCTGCTTGCATTTTAAAATTCCTTAGAACAAATCCGCCTTTTTTTTTTAACCCAGGCAAGTGGAAGAGATATAATTGTATTTATTTAAGCCCATATTAGTATTTCTCTTTTTTTCCTAGAAATAATCATTCTCTACATGGTAAGTATCCCAGGCACCAATGATGACAACCCGAAACTAGTGAATGAGAGCTTTGAAGTGTTTCCTCTTCACCCAACATTGTAAAACCACAGGGATCCTCAAAAGTTGGCAGCTGTGTCTACTTTAAGGTGGAAACTTCACTTGGCATGAATGGAGATCACAGATGATGACGTGCATTTTCCCCGACTCTCTGTCACAAATACTGAGGATCCCCCCAGAAGATGGCTACGTGTTAATAATATTCCCTTTCGATATCCAAGTAGACAGGCTGTCAAGACTGTTAACTGTCAAGACCAGGAATCAAATGGCTTATTAAAACCAATAAAAATATTCTAATAAAACCAAATAAGCCAAAATAGAAGGAAACGGACTTTCTTTCCTCCATACTGAGAGATGTAAGGATTAACACGTATTTATTATCATCCTTTCCTGACCTTTCACTGGAACCAGGAGAACTCTTACCTTGCAAACAAACAGTCTCAAGGAGGCAAACACGTGCTTCAGCGCTGTGGCTGACTGGTTGACTTGGAAAAAGACCATGTAGGTGTCAAAGACCCTTTTCATCATGGAATTTTGACATTCAGATTGTTGGAGTTGTCTCTGGAAATTCAACACAGAAGTCATTTAGGATGAGTGCAAAGGCACCTGTATTCTTTCAAAAGATATTTACTGTGAGCCTACTATGTGGTAGGCACAACTCTGGGTAATGGAGATAGTGTTGAATAAGAAGATATGGTCTATGTTCCCAATGAAACTTACACAGCAGGGATTGGAAAAAATTACTAAATAAGAAAATAGAGCAGAATGATGCGATATAATAAAAAGTAACTGGTTTGGGCAAGGATTACTTTAGGTAGGGTGGGCAACCAAGACCCTCTAATGGATGAACTGACATGTGAGCTGAAGGAATTGGCTATGGGCAGATCTGAAGGGACTATCCAAGAAGGGAGAAGCAGCTAGTACCAGGGATATGAGTTGGGAAGAAGCTTATGAGTTCAAAGTTGAGAAAAAAAAGGGCAGAGGAGCCTGAGCAGAGCATGGGGTGAGATCGGGACAGAGGTGGGAGATGGGGTCACAGAGAGGCAGGTCCTCGTAGGCATCGGTAGGGCCTTTAAGATGTCTGAGATTTGACTGACATTTGCACTGAGTAATAAAGATTTAAAATATGGTGTTTGTTTTTTTTTCTACCACTTTGCTGACACTTTTCCTGAAAGCAGGGATTTTTTGGCATAATAATTGTGTTTGGTGTAGACGTTATTCAATGGATCCAACTGTTCCTACTTCAACCCCGAACATCTGTAAGCTCATTAGATTGAGCTAATATTCCAAATATCTTTATTGAGGTATAACTGGCATACAATTTCTATAGTTTGAGTTTATTAAATTTTATATAAATGGCATCAGACAGTAACTGAGCATAACTGAGCAGCGTTCTATTGTATGGATATACCACCATTTTTTAAATCCATTCACCTGTTGATGTACACTTGGGTTGTTTTCATCACTTATTAAAAATAAGGCTTGTATGAACATTTGTGTACACAGGTTTTTGTGACCAAATGCTTTTATTTCTCCTGGGTAAATGCTTAATATTGGAATGGCCGGTCACATAATGGACACACGTTTAACTTTTTAGACTGCCATACTGTTTTCCAGAGTATTGGCATGCCCGCCATTGGTGGATAAGAGTTCCGGTTTTTTCATACCCTTGCCAAAACGTGGTATGGTCAGTCTTTTTAACTTAAGTCATTCTACCACTATGTAGGTATTATTTTCACCAAAGATATACAGATGACAAATAAGCACATGAAAAGATGCTCAGCATTATTAGTCTGTTGGATCTAGCCATCATTTGTCTCTCCCCCTGAGTCTGAAAAAGTGGAGCCCCACTCTCAGTCAGCTCGGCTTGCCTGAGGGTGAAGCAGGAGAAGCAAAGAAGAATATTTATTATTTGACAATAGTGAAATACATATGTATGTATATCATTTGAGCATTAGTCAACTTCTGATAAACTCTGAGTCTCAGTTGTAAAACTTTTTCCACTGACACTTAGGCTGATTTATGTAACGTTAATTGATTTCATAAAATATTAAATTAAAAAAAATGTTTATTTATCTTTGAAGGAGAGAGAGACAGAGCGTGAGCAGGGGAGGGGACAGAGAGAGAGAGAGAGAGAGAGAGAGAGAGACAGAATCTGAAACAGGCTCCAGGTTCTGGGCTGTCAGCACAGAGCCCCAAGCAGGGCTCAAACTCACAGACCCCGGGATCATGACCTGAGCCAAAGTCGGACGCTTAACCGAATGAGCCACCCAGGTGCCCCAGTAAAATATTTTTTTTTTCTTGACTTCCCATGACTTTTCCACCTCCCATTTTATCATGTTGCAGAAGATGTTATAGTCACACTTACCTGGTGAGTCTGGGTGAAGAGTGATAGCAGGTCTAGGATAGTCAGGCACACCTCTGTAGCTATATTGGCCTCTGTGTCCACATGGTGCACGATGTCTATTTCATTGGAGTTGCCTACAAAATATGAAGTAGAACATACATAAATGTCTAAGAAAATTCTTTGTATTCCATAAAGGGCTTTCTTCTATTATAACATTTTCACTGTTTTCTGGTGTTTTGATAAATAATTTATGAAATCAAAGTGCTTTTGTTGGTTCAATTACCTTATTGGCTGAATCAAAAACTAAAGACTGTCCGTCTAAAGACAGAGGCTTTAACGGATCCTATCGACTAAATGTTTGTGTTGCCCCAAATTCCTGCGTTGAAGCCCTAAGTGTGATGGTATTTGGAGATGGGATATTTGAGAGGTAATTAGCTCGTGAGGGCGGAGCCCTCATGAATGGGTTTGTGCTCTTATAAAAAGAGGCACCAGAAAGGGAGCCTTTCTCTTTGTCATGAGGACACAAGAAGAAGGTGGCCATCTGCAAACCAGGAAAAGGGTTCTCATCAGACATCAAATCTGTTGGTACCTTGACCTTGGACCTCCCACCCTCCAGAACCATAAGAAATAAATGTTTGTTGTTTAAGCCTCCCAGACAATTCTCTTGTAGCCACTCAAACTAAGAGTGTAGGCCCTTTTCATATGTCAGCTGTAGACAAGAGTGACCCATTTGCCATTATTTCTTACTTCTTTTCCATTGATTTAGGCATTGACAGAGTCATAGTCCTTTCATACTCAGTCTGGGGCAAGTTTTAGGCTCTTACTCTAATAGACTAAATGTATAGTCTCAGTGGACAGTGTGCATTAGTGGCCATTAAAGACCCTAAATATATTCATAGGTGAAGGCATCTGCCTTTGGTCACATGTCCCTAACCACTAACATGTACACAATACAAAACACTGGGCTCCATTTTTTCCTCATTCACAAGCTGGAATGTGTGCATCACCGGGTTCAATATATCACACTTAGTGCTTCTAGGACATGGACAACTTCCTCCTCGTCCCAAACAGCAGCCAGTAATAATCTGGTTGACAGAGGTCCCCGTAACCCTCACAATAGCAAATCCACCTGACATCAGAGGAGCTACATGGAGCACATTATCCTGAGAGATTTGCCTGTTTCCTTTCTTGTAAGGACACTTCAGTTTTTAAACTCCCTCTCTGCTGATCTTTTTCTTCTAAGAAAAATTCCCTGGGCTACAGCAAGCCTGAAAAGCCACGGTCTCAGTAACACACTAACATTCCTTACGTTTCTGAAACATTCTAACGTATTTAATGTCTTCCACGCATCTAGAGAAACACTGCTAGCCGTCTCGGTCCCATTATTTCTCGTTTACTTACTGGACATGGTATTGTCTAACATCTGTAAAAGTTTGGGATTAGAAAGTGCATTTTTGCCTCGAATTATAGGTAAAGTTTGTGATCGGTGCTGCTTATGTCCTTCGTGAGCGGACGTGGTATGCATCCTGAAAATTAAATAAGAAAATAGGTTATGGCACAAGAGATATGAGATACAAATGTTCATTCAAAAATTCTAGACTAAGTCAAATATAAACAACTTTTACCCAGAGATGTTTTATGAAAAATATTAATTACAGGAGACATGATCAAAGGGAATTTTAAGAGTGCTTTTGGAGAGGTTTTATTTAAGCCAAAAAACGGTTCAGAAGGATGCTCGGTACCAAAGGGTAATAGAAGAATAATAGATACTAAGTCTGAACAAGCATATTCATTATTATTTAATGAAACCATGAGATTTCATGGGAATTCCATGGTATTCCATCCTCATAGGGGAGAGAGCTAGCGGGGGGACCCTGGTGCAGCTACATTCCCAGGATGATGATAATGGTCTCCAACAGCTCTCATTCAATGTCTCCTTGGCACTCCCACCTGGTGGAATGAGCCGGTGTTATGTGGGAGTAAAGACACTTCCCATTTTTGACTTTCATTTCTGCTATCATTTGGCCAAGGCAATAAAACATTTTTTTTTTTTGAGTAAAGTAGGCAAGAAGAGATACCCTGAAGAGTCAAGCCTATAGAAGAGGCAATGGTTTTCTCTTGGTCACACTTTTCAAGGGGTTATTTGGTTTTGACCACATCAAATGCTCTGGATGGATCGAGGCCCAGAAGACCTAACTTTGGTTTTCAGTAGTTAGGGGAGCCCTGAAGCTACAAGAAAAAAATGAGTTCTGGCTTGAATGGCTTGGACCTTTGGGACTGATTTATTTCCAGGTTTTGGGTCTATTTTGGTCTGGAGCTTCTGGAGGAAAAATCCTGGTGCCTAGGAGGGGAGGGGTAGGAATGGCCAGGACGTGTCTAGATGGTTCAGGAAGAAGCTTGCAATTTAACCCACCAAACGTCAACAAAACTGCAGTGACCTCAGGTACCTTACTATTGTCTTTAAAGGCAGAAAGTCATTGTTGATAGTCTTCTCTCCTATTACCATTTGGAAAACACGCCTATTACATTTTGTCATTTGCTTTCACACAAGGGGCAACTTCGAGGAGTCCCTATGGGCTAAGAGGCGAAACTTACTCCATGGTTTTTTGGTTATATACTACTTTCTTATTTCTGAAATTCTTTCTAAAATATAGCCATTTTCATATTACATATTATTATGGTAACTTTGGGAAGAATAAATCAAACTGGAGAAAATTTTAGCAAAGAATTCTTATTTATGAGACTCAGGGGAGATTTAAAGTAGGATTTCAGGGCAAAATCCTCCCACAGGGTAGGTTCATAAAGGATGACTCCAGGCCCTATGTGCTAGTCAAACTGGTGTAATGGCTAGGAAATCGAACACGAGCTTATGGAGCCATCCATGTTTCCTCACTGCTTGCGACCCTTTCAAAAACAATTTTAGGGGCACCTGGTGGCTCAGTCAGTTAAGCGTCTGACTTCGGCTCAGGTCACGATCTTGCGGTTTGTGGGTACAAGCCCCGTGTCGGGCTCTGTGCTGGAATCTCAGAGCCTGGAGCCGGCTTTGGATTCTGTGTCTCCCCCTGTCTCTGCACCTCCCCCACTTGCACTCTGTCTCTCTCGTTCTCAAAAATAAATAAACATAAAAAAAATAAGAAGATAAAAACCAATTTTAGCTCTGAGGACACTGCTAACGTATTACAATGACTGAAAGGTATGGGGACATACGACCTCACATTTGATATGTCACTAGGAGGTTAGCAAACATTAAATGAGTCATTTATTGGAATGATGTCTTTTCGGGCTCAGTTAAATTACGGTACTATTAACCTCCATCCACTGCATGGCATTGTGCCCCAAGTGCACATAAATAAGTCATAATCCTTGACTCTTAGGTTTTCACAAGCTAGCGGAGCAGGTAGAGGAGAGTTTCTGCATGTGGTTTGAAGTGTATGCATACATACATATGCATGTGCCTGCTTGTGCATGCACATGTGGAAGCATCCGTATCCCTCCACACACACACACACACACACACACACACACACACACACACATACACACACACGCACATACGCATAAACACAATATGATTACAAATATCAAGCAAATGCGACATTACCATTGTGGCAAGGGACCTGATGTTTGGCAGGAAGGGTTAGAGCCTTTGAGAGTTCCATTGTTCTGGGTGGACTGCACAAATTTAAACGCTGCAGCAATTTTCCTGCAAGGGAAACTGAGGTTTTAATCACAGTTCAGTATTTGTAATTTATTTTTAAATAAAGACCGGCCACTGGCCACACGACTACTGAACAATGAAATAGTCTGCGTGCTATGAAAGGTAAAATCACATCATCTTTTGGGAATGGGAAATGGGGGTTTAGCGAAAGTGCTGGGGGCTTCGTGGTCTCTCATGAGAAAACAATGTCAACACAAAGTTATTCTAGATTAATTTTTCTTTTCAGCTTACTGGGAGTATATTCTTTCTTTCTTTCTTTCAAGTACAGTTGACACACAACATTATATTAGTTTCATGTGTACAACATAGTGATTTGACAAGTCTATGTATGTTGCACTCACCAGAAGTGTGGCTACTATCTGTCCCCAAACCACAAAACCACGGACTGTATTCCCTGTGCTGTACCTTTTATTCCTGTGACTTATTCACATTGGATGTATTCACATTGGATGTAGAAGGTTCATAGGAATCTTCTACATTACATCCATGCAAAATGATAGATAAATTAGCTCGGACGATACGGGAAATGTGGCTTCCTTTTAGAAATGTATGTTTTGTGCTTTTCTCCCTAGACAGCTTTTAACTAGTCCTAGATCTATGATGAGTACATGGCAAGTGTCAAACTTCTACATCTACTCTGAGGTCAACCTTACGATCCTTATGTGCACCTTAAGATTTCTAACATATACCTTGAAGTCTAACCTGATATACATTAATAGATGCCATATTTTTTTAAAGATAAGACTAACCTAGTGGAATTTAAAAATTACCTTATTATATTGCGTCTTCCTAGGTATCTGAAATTTTGAAGACAAACACTAGAAAGGAAAAAAAAGGCCACATTCCAATTATTCATGTCCTTTTGTTTATACAAACTGTTCATTTAAGAAGTACATTAAAAGAAAAGTTGATTTTATGCATATTTTATGCATGACTACTACTGATAGATAGTAGGACATTCTAAGGACATATGGGTCCTCAGAATGAAGGATGGTATACTGAACCATTTTGAAGCTTCCAGAAAAAAACAGGTTAACAAATCAACTCTATAACTTACTCCAAGATGCTGAAGAAGTCAGACACCTCTGGACTGGGTGCTCTTTGCCAGTAGGCAATCAGCGTCTCTGGAAGGAAACACCATGTAGCATGAGACTCTCGGAAATTCAATTTTTTTTCCTTTTTAAAAATTTTAATTTTTAAGGGCTCTCTCTTTACCCTCTGAAATTGTCTTCATAATGTGAAGAAAGCACATGAGAAGGCTCCTGGTTTCTGCTTGATCTAACTTGTCAAATCGAAGGGTTGACCCTATCAAAGACAAGGGTCTAGGGATCTAGGAACGGAAGAACCAAGAAAGACTGAATTAGCGAGGCGGGGGGGCGCTGGCTCTTCAGGTGCTGGGAAACTGGAGGAGAAGCCCCACCTTTTCGCAGTTGTCTGTTTTCTCGCTGCTCTTCTCATTGGTGCTTGGGTTGGAGTCAAGACTTGCCAGGGATGCTCTGGAGTCAGCATGGTTTACTGTAGAAATAGCTATTGATGAAAATGCTGCAAACACAAGCCACAGCACACAGATGGTAATGAGATGTAATGGGCACACACACAGAGCTAAAACGATGACCCAAAAAGATGTTGATCATTGAGGTGGTAGGAGCATTGGGGAAGGCTGACATGATAGAGTCTGGAATTGCCATTGAAGACATGCGACATTTTAAGAATGATCACGGTGGCCATGCCAGCCTTAAGGATTTAGGGAAATTTAGACCAGTATAAATGGAAATAAGGTAAAGCTTGTTCCTTTGATTTCTTAAACAGCTTTTGAAAGGTTCTCTTTTAAAAACGCTTTCATGCAAGTTCATAAGGATGCTTTGGGGGGAGAAGCTTTCAAGTTTTGACAGTTTATAAGAAATTAAGATGACATTTCCAAAATAGTTCTTAAAAATAAATTCTGAAGTTGTTGGGGCTATTATATTTTAAAAGGTTGTATGCAATGAAAACTTAAAAGATTGTTTCCAGAATGAAATATTTTGGTAACATCTGAGTAGATTGCTCTTTGAGCCAAGTAAAACTGAATGCTAAGTAGAAGAGGAAGCCCCTGGATGAGCTTCCAAGAAATATGTAAAGAGACTCTTTAGCTCTATAAATAGAGTGTACTTTGACATACAGCAATTATGCATACTGGATTATGGAGTGGGTAAAAAGCACAATGATATGTCATGTAAACATGGAAGAGAGTTAAACACAAGTGTTTTTGCAAGGTCTTAAGTACCTGCTATGGAATTTAAAACATCTTTAGAAAATGATGTATCCACAGAATTTGCATGTTTCATAGCCGACTGGCTGTGAAATCCTCCATTGGTGCTGAGGTCATCTCTAGACCCCTGTATTCGAAGCACAGAAGAGATTAATGGGAATCGCCACATTTCAACATTGTAAACCCACATATGCCTTCTTTGTTACACTTTCAGTTCGACGATATTTGATCTGATCTTTTATATTCCAGCAAAGGTCTTCTGCCAAAGCAAGCAATGAAAATGAATACAGTCACAACCATACTCTTAGTCACATTTTGACTTCTGTGGTTTTTTTTTTTTTTTTTTTTTTTTTTTTTTTACTATCTTTTAGCTATAAACTGGTTGGAATGGCTACTGTTGTTTTATGGATGATACTCTAGATTATCATGAGTTATCTTACGTATATTACTATTACTAAAAGCTAATTCCAAATACTTATTATGTACCAGTCTCTAGGCCTAGTGTTTTCTACTAGAGAATTTAATCCTCCTAAGAATCCTGTAATGTAGGAATTCTATCCGATTCTATAAATAAGAAAGCAGAGGTTTAAAGAGGCTGGATAGACACGCCTGGGTGGCTTAGTCAGTTGAATGTCTGACTTCAGCTCAGGTCATGATCTCACAGTCTGTGAGTTCCAGCCCTGCACTAGGCTTTCTGCTGCCAATGCAGAGCTCGCTTCAGATCCTCTGTCCCTCCCCCCGCCCCTCCCCACCCACATTTTCTCTCTTAAAAATCAATAAACACTAAAAAAAAAAAAAATAAAGACACTGGATGACTTATCGAAGGTTACATTGTTAGTAACTGATGTCGCTACTAGTTACACAAGGTCTTCCTCTAAAGAACATTCCAAAGGCCTAGCTCCTAACCGCGAGAGAGTAATATTTTGCATTCACATGGCCTGTTGTGTGACCACGATGGTGGCTCCGTGGAGGAGGGAGGACAAACAGGCCACTCCTGGGGTGTGACTGAGGCCCTCCGCTACCCTATCACCAGGTGGTCGCAAAGCCCGTGCGGAAAGGTGGCAGGGGGAGAGGGTGCGCCCTGAGGATGGGGCCGTGCACTCGACAGAGGAACCTGGTAAAAACTGGACAGAACTGGGGGGTGATACAGAGAAGAGAGGACAGTGAAACCCAAATGTCGACTACGTGGAGGAGGCAGAAGGCTCCAGGGACCAATCCGGAACAAAGGAGACTGAAGTGGACGTCTCAAAATAGCTAGCAGCAGTGTTCTGTTTGCTCACGGGTGGGGGAAGATGGCTATCCAGGGCAAAAAGTGGGTGAACTCTTGATTAAAATGCACATTTGAAATATTCTGTAAACTTACTTGGTTGGATGTGTTGACGGTAAAAGGATATAAGTCCTTCAGGTAAATCCTTGGCATATTGTCCAGAAGCATGCCATACAGGGGCATGTATAGACTTGCTATCTGGGCCTGTTTCTCCTAGGTGGGAAGGTGGCCGAGAGAAATGATTCGCATAAAAATCAATAGACTGTAGGTTTGATATGCATTTAATGCAGTGAGCCATGAAATGGTGTTTAGGGAAGAGAGAAAAGAGAATCACTCACGGGTTCTCTGTATCGATCATCAAAGGAATGCTTAGCCATTAGATTTTTTAGGACAGCTAAAGCTGAGTGCCTGATGTCCTGGTCTTCTTGCAGGGCAAAGCCAACTTCTCGAAGTAGAATTCCAATTAAGAAGTGTTTGCGGCAAAATTCATTCGTGACCGAATATTCAGGCATATCTTTGGGAGGAGAGTAAAGCGGGCATGTGATTGAAAGTCAAACGATCGCTCTATAATCCAGAAAGGTTTATCCAACCACCACCAACCTCTCTCACTACCGGGGAGGGGTTCAGTAACGCAGTCTCACTACAGAGAGGAGGAATGAGGGAGACTATACTGCTGCCAATAGTCAAATTCCATGAGTAGCGTGTCTACAGTGTCACAGGAGCTGAGAGGAGAAGAGCTCACTTTCTGTCTGGAGGAATCAGGAGACGTCACTGGCAGGAAGATGTTGAGAGGGGCCTTTGAGGCTGCTGAAGGTCGGAGGTGCAGGGGGCCCGGAGCCAATGGAGGCGGTGGGAGGGTGTGGGTGGAAGAGAAGAGGTTGGGAGGACAAAGGTTCCATGGCACAGATTTCTGAAGACCCACAGTGTATCAGTGTGTGGGAAACACAGGTTGGGGGATGCCAGTCAGCCCAGCGGCCAAGGAGGGGGTGGGGATTGAGACTCGAGGGGCACTTGGGGCTGGGTGATGGAGAGACTAAAGCACACATTTTTTAGCTGGCACCTGGGATCCTCCATTTGGCACTGAATTCTGTAGAAAGTGTGAAGTCACCAAATGGCATTGAGATCGGTGGCCTGATCAGACCTGTGCTTATTCATTTGTTCACAGGGTGACAGGACATAAATGAGTTATTCTGTGGGGGAAATGTGGGGAGCGGGCTATAATACCGGACGCTCGGCCACAAGGCAGGGAGGGAAGAAGTGAGATGTGTCTGGGATGGAGCGGAAAGACCCGAGTTGTAGAAGAAAAATTACCAGGGTAAGTTGGCTGAAGGACGTGAAGGAGCAAGGAGAGGGAAACCAAACGGGGCTGCAAAATTTTGTGCCTGAATCAGGGAGAAATTGGAACGTCAAAATTTCCAGTAAGAGTTGGCCAATGTCCTTCCTAAATGTAACTGTTAACAACAGGACCAGCACCCGTTTCTGGAACATGTACTGAGTGCCAACACTAGGCTAAGCACCGTAGAGGTGTTATGTCCGTGAATCCTCGCAGTTACCTGTTAGATGTAATGATCTCTTGGAATATCCCAGTCCATAATTGACTAGGGGCAAATTAAACATAAGGAGTTTTGTAGTCCATGAAAATGCCACTGGATGTGGAAAAGCAGGGAATGGGAGGGTCAGGAGATAGAGGTCCAAGGGCTTAGTTAGGTTAAAAATATTTCTCCATGAAATAGTGAGTACTCGTGAGGGGCCAGAAGTGGAACAAAACTTTGTAATTGCCAACCCAGAACTAGAGAAAAGTTTTGCTCAGACTATTTTAAGTTATGAACCTAATTCAAGCAAAAATAACAATCAACCTCAATCTTGAGAAACTAGCTGAAAAACCAGGCTGCGGTGTGTTGACAGAAATATATAAAGCTAGTTACACTGAACAAACATGTTATGACATGTATCAAGGAATTTCATTTATGAGGTACCCTAAGAAAATTTCAGATGATTTGGGAAATTAAAAAAAAATGTCCAACTCTGGAGAATAAACTATGAAAGAATTCAGGTTGGGGAAGCATTTAATTATCTGTGACAAGAGAACAGTTCAGTCAGCTTGTTGACAACTTTGTATGATATTAAACACATGACTATTTTTGGCATCCGGAAATGGCATCTGGAAATTTGTGGTATCTATACCAATCAATATTATCAGATTATGATGTACTTATTGATGTTTAGAGAATCTAATATAAAACATAATTATTTACCTGATGCATGTAACTCTTGAGTTGATTCTGAAGGCGTCAAGGGATCTGGATTTAATACAAATAAACAAATAAGTTAAGATATACACATACATACACGTTATATTCATGAACTATGGGTAATTTATACTGAAAAACTGTATTATCCTAAAACCTAAGTGAGTCTCCTCAAAAAAGCTTTATGTTTGAAGACAAATACCATAGGTTGGTTGTTTCCTTAAAAAGGAATGCCATGAACAGAGTTATTTTCATTCCTGGCCTTTTACTTGAACACTTATTTTTCTACCAGAAATCCGCATGCAATGAAACACGTATTTTTATGTTCACCGTTGATAATATCACATCTACAAGGAGACTATGAGGCCTTTTCCTGAGTTACAGATCAACAGTAAACAACTGGAATCAAAAGGGCACAATAGGTTTGCTTTTCTTGAGTATCTTAACCAGCCTGTCTAACCCAATAATAAGTGGGCAATAGTTCATAAAAAAATAAAAAGGAATACAAAACAAACCAAAAGGCGAAAAATGTTATTGTCCAAGATGACATTTCTACCTCTTTTTCTACGAAGGCATTTAGATTAAATATACTTCATAAATTAGGAAAGAAAGGGATAATGTTATAGCTTTTATTTAAGATTGAAATGACAAAATGTTTACAGGCTTGATAATGTATTTTATTTTCCCTCCAAAATATTAGTTTTGTGTGATACATACAGTATAAGCTACAATACATGTAAGGAGGCTCTTTACCATCCTTTTTTTTCTGCTTTCCATGAATATCAAAACTGCTCCTTGTGGATAATTTACTCACTGCTTAGAAGGAAGGTCTTTTTTTCTTTCTTTCCTTCCTTCCTCCCTCTCTTTCTGCCTTCCCTCCCTCTCTCCCTCTTTTCCTCCTTCCTTTCATTCTTGAGGGACAATTGACTATAACATTATTTTGATTTCAGGTGTACAACATAATGATTCAATATTGATGCAGGGTGAAGTCGAAGCAGAGTATTTTAAGTTCTTAAATCATTTTAATGTTTTCTTTGCATCCTGATATTTGACTGTCTTCTGATAGCTAGATGTGTGATGATCATCTTGGCATCTATGTATATTGGTATAGATGCAATACATTAATAAAAGTTATACATGAAAAGATTTTCGGTGGACCACTCATGCTATAGTAAATATAGAAATGGGAAGCAACCGTCTCCACCTCCTTCTAATCCAGAGGTACCAAGTGTTTACAATGGTGCCCTCCTTCCCGCTTTCCTCCCTCTTTCCTTCCTTCCTTCCTTCCTTCCTTCCTTCCTTCCTTCCTTCCTTC